GCGGAGCCGAAGATAGTCGTAGAAGAGCATGGTTTGTGCTCCTTACCACCTTTGCCCGTCAAATGGGACGTCGATGTTTTTATAAATGAATTTCAAACTACAGTTTCTTCAATTTCTCCCGAGATTATCGAATTTGACCTGATTAACCTGGACTGTACTTTCGCTAACGCCATGCGTAGGATAATTGTCGCAGAGGTACCGTCCTTCGCCATCGAGCGTGTCTACCTCCACCAAAACACGTCAGTTATAGCCGACGAAGTTTTCTGTCATCGATTGGGCTTGGTACCTCTTAACATTGATGGGAGCAAGCTAGACTTTTGCAGCGACGCTCTGCCAGACACTTGTGAGATTGAGGACTTCGACCCCAATCATCATATAATTTTTGACCTGGATGTTAAGATTGACAAATTACCTGTTAAAGAAAGCGATGTATCTGCAAAGGAAGGCCTGCACATTACCCCACTTTACAGGTAGGAGTTTCGGGATATTCGGCATTTGTCTGTTTAAGAATTTTCGCCTGTTTTATCGCACCGAAGGACCAAGTTATTTTGTTGCAAATTTCCATAAGTCGTCCTCTCTTTAAGGGAAGTGCGTGCGCATTTTAGTATTTGGAAAAATATCGCCATTGGCAGCTGCAAACTTGATTTTACACCCCCACAGCATATTGCTAGGAATTGATGTAGTATAAGGAAAAGAGGCTAAGCAAGCAGGAGCTAAGAGATAATTAACTTTAAGTAAAGCCAACGAAAGTAAGCATAAAAATTAATTACGCTACTCCTTTTGTTTGTTAGTGCCGGTGGACCTTAAAGCAAAACTACATTTTTATAGACATTTTCCTGTCCGTCCCGCTTTTTAGATTTGGGTTGAGAGGTTTCTGTTAAGGTAGAATCCGTTTAATATGCACTTGCAAAGAATATCTGTAACTAAAACCGTATAGATGTGGTACAGAAGACACCCAAAATCCGCCTATAACCCGCAATTACCTTAAGACTTTGCTACCTGAAACAAATTCCCGCTAACCCACATCTATAATGTCTGTCATGCGGACACTTTACTTTTATCCCTAGAGTGACCATAAAAATAGGGCAATTGTTGAGTTAGCTAAAGCAGCTTATCCTGGGCAATTCAACTGAATTTTGCATATCAATATGGTTTTAAAAAATGGGGCGTGGTTCGTAACCACTTCTTGCTATTCTGCCAGGTGCTCACTGCGCATTTCTTACTTGTCTTCTTTAAATGTCAAATAAACGTAACGCTATGTAATAAAATAAGTCGAGTAGATTGTATTTTTCGTGCTCCACCCCGTCTTCTCAT